TAATATATATATCTAGGGAAGGGGCTTGGGGTGGTTTAAGGTCTGTAGAAAAGGTTTTCTTTAGGAGAGCTCGTGTATCAGTGTATGTGATTCGATGGGACGAAAAATGTGATTTTAGGGTTACAGACTATTGGTCATTTCCGTCTGTCTGTCCCTCCTCCATCCACCTATTATGTTCAAAATTTTCTGGTTCTTGGCTTTGACAGGTAGGAAAATGGTTTAGGGAATGAGCAGATATTGGGTGATCTGTTTTTGTTTTCGTTTCTCTATCATTTTAGGTGGGCATTATATGTGTCTATATATGTAATTTAATCGCAATCAAACCGCATTTAGGCGTTGAACTAGATGTAAATGTAGTGGTATATTCATGAACAAGAGCCATGCCTGTTGTATCTTTTGTACGAAGCCGAGAGTACGAACCTGTTTTAGCATTCAAACCGTATTTTGGCATGGAATGGATGCGTCCTAATCACAAGCAGAATGGCAAATGGGTTTGGTTGGGTGTGAAAGTTGGTGATGGGTTGCATCATCTGTAGAAGCAAGACTCGAGAGAGTTCGATCTGACTGGTGCAAACAGTTCCCATCTAGTACGTTAGTTGGGAGTTTAGCCATGTCTAAACGCAATGTGTGGTGAAAGCTTCCTGGGCGCACGATGGAGTTCGCTCACGAGAACTTCTTACTTTACTAATCAAATTAATATTGTCACCTCTGAGTTGGATAATGTTTTGGGCTTTAAAGCCTCAGATAGGGCCCAAACAATTGGATCTGCGTGCAGCTGGTAGGCGGAGGCTCCACATTGGAGAACCCATGGGCTTATATGGCCAACCAGGTAGGTCGGTGCACGGACGCAAACTTGCGGCGGACATTAGCACAAGGCTCCATGGCCCATGCTCAGCTATAGGTACTTACACGAAATTTTTTCTTCCTTTCATCGAATAGTGTAACGAAATACAGACATTCTCTGTTTAACGGATAGGTCACAGAACTAAAATAGCAAAATCTACAAAATCTCGGGCCTTTTACCTTATACGAGTTACATCATCCCAATATGATCATGTTAAAAGTTAGTGTGTAACTACGGTGACATGCATGTCACGGTGACTTGTACTTTCCGGTCGACCTCAGTTAGGATTAGGTCGATCTCAGTTAGAATTAGGTCGACCTCATTTAGCATTCGGTCGATCTCATATAGGATCTGGTCGACCTCATTTAGGATTCGGTCGACCTCATATAGGATTAGGTCGACCTAATATGTTGTTTCAGTGTAATAACAGTTCATGGTGCCTATTTTGGATATTCATATCATACAATTGGCTAGATGGAAATTGAAGACTAATGACTTGTTTTGAAGCTGGAGTGTCCCTCTACATATTGAAGTGATTGAGAGCTCGATAGGAAGTCAAGAAGACCATTTTTGAACCACATCAAAAGGCTATGCCAAAACTGGGAAACTGCCTGGAAATGGCTAAGTCTGGAAACGTGTTTGTGAAGCCTATTTTGGAGCTCAATTCGAGAAACATGAATGTGAGTCGAGTCCAGGAGCCTCTACCACGTTAAATTAGATATGTTTTTATACAAATTCAAGGCATTGGATGTAAGATTGGATATCTGTAAGGCTTCAAACAAAAGGGTCGAAGTTTCTACGAAGGCAAAGCTGCCAGAAAAACAGCCTTCGTAGCAACTTAGAGCCTTTTGTTTGAAGCCTTAAAGATATTAAATCTTTCATCCAATGCCTTGCCTTTGTATGAAAAACTACGTAATTTAACGTGGTAGAGACCCCCTGGACTTGACTCGCATCCATGCTTCTCAAATTGAGCTCCAAAGTAGGCTTGACAAACACGTTGCCAGATTTAGCCATTTTCAGGCAGTTTCCCAGTTTTGGCATAGCCTTTTGGTCAGGTTTAAAAATGATCTTCTGGACTTTCTATTGAGCTCCCGAGTACTTTAATGTGTGGAGGGACACTTCAGCTTCAAAACAAGCCTTTAATCTCCAATTTCCATCTAGCCAATTGTAAGATATGAATCTCCAAAGTAGGCACCATGAAACTGTTTTTACACTGAAACAACAGATTAGGTCGACCTAATCCTATATGAGGTAGACCGAAAAGTGCATGTCACCGTGACATGCATGTCACCATAGCAAAGTCTAAAAGTTAGTATGATTCATATCAAGATTGTAAGATGCAGATCTTGTAGGGTTTATAGCTCTTGACTTTTGTATGGTAACCCAAAGCTTTAACTAATATACTTTATATCGATCGGTTTGGGCATGAATCTTCCTTATTTGTACTTCTTGCTTCGATGTAGTCAGTTGCGGAGGGAGGTATTAAGGAGAGGGGTCCTCAGGGGCGGACCGAGGGTCATTTAGGCCTGTCCCGGGGGCCGGGGCACCCCTAAATTTTGGAAGATCGATTATCTAATCTTGGTGGTAATTTACATATATACAAAAAAATTATAATTAATAGTTCGGGACACCCTGAAATTTGAAAGAACGATTATCCTACTCTCGTTTGTGCATGAGAATATAAGTGGTAGTTTGGATAATTCAAAACCGGGACACTACTATTACTAATAAATATAATATCCATTAGGCTACAACTTTTCTATTGTTCTATTCTAAACACTGTGTTATAACAAAATCCTATTCTCAATCTTTAATTATTTTCTAAATCTAACAATTAATCTAATTACAAACTACCCTAAAATTTTATTGATTTTATGGTTGTACGACAAGTGTTGAAAGTGTTTTTTCAGTTTTGAGTTACATCAAGAACAAATTTAGAAGTAAAATATGTGTCAGCTCGTGAATGATTGTCTAGTAGGACATACCGAGACAAATTTGTTGAGCAGAGTAGACACTAAGAGTATTTTATAAAAATTTTAGAATATGAAAATACATCATTGACATTTTTTTAACTTGTACGAGTTGGATATTTTCTTATTTAAGAATTATATAATTTTTATTAATTATATAATTTGTATTTTACTTTATATTTTGAAAGAGGACACCTCTATGTGAAATTCATGGGTCCGCCACTGGCCCCACTTGGCAAAAGATTGAGCAACAAAACCCTTTAGATACATAGAATTTAGTACGATGCTTTAAGTTTAGGACCCTAAAATTTCATCGATGTTAGCTCAACGAGTAAAACGTACCATTGTTCACTAAACTCATCAAATAGATTTAAGTTTGCCACTTAATTCATTTTTAATACAACTAAACAACAAAACACAGACTAAAACTGTACCATCCATAATTCCCGTTAGTATCCATCTAACACCGTGATAACCATGGAAATAACTGTGATGATTTTGCAATTTTTTAGACTAATTTCTAGTACTTACAGCTCGGCTATCTTCTCTATTCTACGCCTGTGCACACCGACACCGATGGTATTCAAAATCAAATCCTCTCACTACGAAGCAGTAAGGTCGTCACCTCTCCCACGTTGCTGACTACTCGTACAAACTTCTCCACTAGGATCCTACTAAAAACGCATCCATAGCTGCATTGTTGTTGTCGCTGTCCGAGCCTAAGTACTTCTGATCATATATTGTTCTTGGCGATCTGATTGGACGAGGATGGTGACGAGATGGGGGTTATTGGACCCCTGTTCCGGGCGATCGATCAGATTGTTCTGATGATGGCATCACTCAAAGACAAACATGATTCAGAGCCCTCCATGCTGCTTGTAGTGAAAGCAAAACGATTATTTGACTATACAACAATCACCGAGCTCCTACCTATATATCGAAGGACATGAACACTCTAGTGAGGGGTCGAAGAAGGAGCACAGTAGTGAGTTGAAGAGGAAGACGCCCAAATGTCAAGCACGCCAAGAGAGATCAAAGACAACGGAGACTTGAGACCTTGCGTGCCCAAATATCTCTCCATCAAGAATTTCAATCCATTGCAAGCAATTATTTAAGGGGTCGTTTGGATGAGGGATTTTAATAACGAGGAATTTTGATTAAATCTCTCGTTTAAAATACCAGGGAATTTGTATGCAGGATTTAATAGAAATAACTCGTTTGGATTGAAACGCAGAATTTTAACCTTACAACACAAATTACAATAATATCATTTGTCATCTTCCCTCGTGTTCTTCTTCGTTTGTAATCAAACTAGGCAACTAGCAATCAATTGTTCTTCCCCTGCTTCTACACCAATTATCATACTGCTCTTCTTATCTACTTCCATCACAAACCTATAATCTCATTATTGTTTGCACATAAAAGAAGAAGATAATAACAAACTCTTAATCGGAGACAAATAAGAACCCCAATCCAAAATGGCATATACATCTCAATCCAAAATGGTTTAGTTGTATTAAAAATGAGTTAAGTGGCAAATTAAATCTATTTGATGAGTTTAGTGACCAGTGGTACTTTTTACACTAGTTCAACTAAGGACCCCAATCAACTTAAAGTTCGTTAGATGCACAGTCTTTAATATTAGTAAATATTTAAAGGCCCCAATAAATACAAAGTCTGGCTACGACACTGAATGTAGTGAATCTCGAATAGCTTTTTATAGTTTTATTAACATCAAGAGTAAGATCTTGAACCTTGTCTATGAGCAGAGAGACCTCGTTGTGCGTGTTCGTAAACTACTACCACTATCTAGTACGTCGTCGTTACATCCAAACAAACAGTACTACCACCACTCATAATCAAGGCATGAGACCGTCTTCATCACCTTTCATATACAATTGCTAAAACTTAATTAGGTGGAATGTGTTCGTAAATTGCTAATTCAATTGCAGGGATGTGAAGTCAATTACTAACTTAGCAATCTTGCTAAATAAGAAATTCCACTTACAATGACACGTGGGATTGTATTAATTACCTTTTCTTTTTTATCTTTAAAGTTTAGATATGTTAATTTTTTATAATTGAAGAATTGTTTATACATACATATATACGTGGTCCCCACAATAGAAACGGCTATGAATAATTTGAAAGAGCTATTGCTTAAGTGGTTGATATGACAGTGGGATCTATATAAGAAATTGCTAATTAATTACAAGGATGGAGATGCTCTGATAAGCTATCAGTCGATAAATGTACGTAGTGATTAACCTTTGGAACGTGCATGTCCATCTAGATCAGACGTACACTTGACATGATAATAATCGGGATCTATATAATTATTCATTAATTACTCATAACCAATTATTTCATTTATTTGTAAGCATTGCACGAACTATATAAGCTATGTTTTCATCTTCTTCTTGCTGCAGTTTCCCGCTGGCAGTTGAAGTAAATGACAGCAACAGGGAGCCCCAGGCCGTTGTCCTGAGAGAACTTCTTGGTGTTGAAGCAGTCCCTTGACGGCGGCGCCCTCACCGTCTGCCTCCCTCTTGTCTGCTTGAACATGATGAAGACGTAGCGGTGTATTCCGACAACCGGCCGCGGCACCTCGTAGCTCACCATTTCCTTCCCTGCGTTATTTCCATCAGTTATCCATCGCATTACTTTATCGGATGAGCACTTCTACTATTCTATAAAGTATTTGGGCTTTAATGTACAACTTAAAGTTATACCATAATATTAAATGTATAAGTTAAGGTTGTATCATAAAAGAATTTGTACCCTTATGTTATGGTACAACTTTATAACTTAAAGTTGCACCATCACATGAAGGTACAAATTTAAGTTGTACCATAAAAGAATTTGTACAAAAGAGTATAGGTACAATATGAAGTTGTACCATAACGTTAAAGGTACAACTTCAAGTTGTACCATAAAGACAAAAGCTATATATAGCACCAATACTATATAGCATTGTAAAATTCCTCTCATCGGATCGGTAAATAGGGATGGCAATGGGGCGAGGCAGGACGGGTTCCTCAATTTTCATGACCCGCTCCACGCTATTACTGGCCGGCACGGCTAAAATTCGAGCGAGTACGGGATGGGGCGGGTCGTCCTACTCTTATAAGTTATTTGGAAAAGATACACACAAATTTTACTTTTTACGATAAAACAAAGGGAAAAACACTTTATGAAAGAAAAATGTTGATAATAGAATGGGTAATTAAGTCTAACAAGTTGAAATATCAACTCTAACTAGTTGAATAAAAATCAAAATAGGAGAAATATGAATAGATACCGTGAGAAATTGAGATAAAATGGATCTAGAACGGGGCGGGTCGGAAGAAGATACCCATACTCTGTCCCACGCTGTTGCGGGCCAGGTAATACCCGCCCCATCGCCGGTCAAGGCGGTTAATACCCGCAAGGCGGGTTCAAATTGCCATCACTATCGGTAAAGAGAAAAGAGTATAGCCAGAGAGAGTGAGAGAGAATAAGCTCACCGAATGAAGCATCCGTCGTGCCAGGAATGTCGGTTACCATCCTAAGGTTAGAAGAAGAAAACACGAACCGAGATTAATTAGGACTCATAGGAATAAGGGAAGCTACTATATATGTAAGGAATCGTATATATATGTTTAGAACATAACGAAAATCGATAATGTAAGAAAGTAAAGAGCACGTAGATTTATGTGGTTAATGAATAAGATGTGTACGTATTAGCTAATCTGTATGATCAAAAGAGACCAATTCACTATGATACTTGAGGAGATACATGTTGAGGAGATACATGTTATAGAGATTGAGAGTGACGACCTAACACTAATCAAACATGGAAAGAAAAATGTTACAAACCATGTCCAGAATAACGACGGATAATCGTTTCTCAAGCCATAGAAATTGTATACGTACCAGTGAAGATGCTCCTTGAGGTAAGGATCACTAGGGCTTGGATAGTCCGGGTCGGTCATGATCTTCAGTTTCGCCACCCACCAAAACCGAATCAATGAGCACATACGAAGTCACAAACAAGCTAGAAGAAGAACAGGGAGAAGGTACAAGACCGTCATGAACTGAAGGCAATGGTGGGTTTTTTTTTTTTACTTACGAGGGTGTAAGGAGTGCGCAAATCGTCGCCGCCGATGTCGACACGGGGGCGGGAAGCAACGAGGGCCGGCATGAGCTCGTGGCCATTGGAGACTTGTTTGTTGGAGTTGTAAGTGACAGTCATTCTCACGCTCGGGTTGAACATCTCCACCACTTCCCCCACCACCCTCCCTACTATCAGTGGCTCCATTGCTCCTCTTGCCATTAGGAAGAACGATGAATCTCTAGCTAATGGGGGTTTTCCCCTTAGGTCTTTTTTTTTTTTTTGGCTCTGCTGGTGTGAAGTTTGCTTCTTTGGTGTTGGGTTGTGATGATGATGGAGATTCAGGGGGTTTTATGAGGCCATTTATAGGCACAAGATAAAACACTAGTATATTGAGAGAGAGAGCTTAAATCACAAGCTAGCTATACATAACATGCACGATCACTACAAATTAATGCCATTGCATTCAAAGGGAAGGAAATTGAAGCATATTCCTTCACATTCTTGGATGGTAATTTCGACCTTACTTGATTTACTCGATCTCTTTGACATGTTTTGGATACAACTACTTTTCTCTATCTAATTCACTCTGACTCGTTTCATTTTTGACATATTTTGCCTAAATTACTTGTAATTTTACTATTAAGAATTTACTTTTATTACCTCATATTTTAGCTATAATACAACTGTAAATAGGTGAGAGTCACGACAACCATGAAGCATTTGCTATAAGATCATTCATTCGGTTGGGAGATAGATTCTTGCTCGGAAGCTGATTACAGTTACAGATGATGTGTGTTGGAACGGTTCCGGATATCATCCACTAGTTAGATAGTGTTTGTTCTTGAGTGTTTTTATGTTGATATATTATATAGTACCCATTGAGGAGCATTTTTCTCTTTGTTTTCCTTAAGTCTTCCCTTTCTGTGTCGTTCTTGATTTTACTTTCAGTCCTCCTTCAGGAGATTTTTTAGTGTGTTCTAGTTATTGTTTTCAGTTTTGTTTCTACCCTTGCTCTTTTCAACCGTTTTCTTCTTCCTGTAAATTACTTCCCTTAATTCCTTTTTGAATAATTTAACTATATTCATCTAAGTATGTTTATTATTTTTAATGTAAAAATGAAAGTTTCTAATTTTTTTTTTAAATTATATATCCGGATGGATCGACCTGCACCTAATCTGGCACGAAGTATGTATAGATATCGAGATACTCGTCCCAACCTGCCTTATTCTCATTCTTATCCATAACCTCGGCCAGATTGATGTGACTCAAAGTATAATGATTTGGATCGTAAACTACAATAGTGGTACTGAATTAGTGAATCCATTCTCATGTTCATTCACGTTTCCTACTTAGATGTTAAGTGATTGGTCCATGGCAAAAGAATTGTGGTGACATGTTATGGTGATGTACACATGGATGATTGTCTCGGTTAAGGAAAAAAGGACAAGTGTCACAAGAAGTAGTCTTTTCTCCCCCACCACGATCATCATTTCGCATTCTTGTAGTACTTTTTGTCACTTGGTGGAGTCTTATACTAGTGATCAAAATGTTGATACAAGAAGCGAAGCCACTAGAGAAGAATTCTTCTTCTTTTCTCTTTTGGGTTCAGTTTCTGTCTTCATGACCAATCATCCAAAAGAGAATTGAGAAATTGGGTTTAAAGAAAATAGATTGAAGGAAAAGGAGAATCTAACATGTCTTTGGCTTATTGGTTTGATGGGAATAAATGAATCTTTAATTATAATATCTTTGGTGCGAATGGAGAATTCCAGCTTTTCAGACAGCTATACTCCCCTCCATACACATGCATGCTCTCTCTCTCTCTCTCTCTACTTCTCTTTCTCTCTCTACCTTCAGAAATTGAAAAACAATGTTATAGAGAGGGTTTTATATTACTTTTCTGTTTAGGAAATTGTTTTGATTTGTGATCTTGTTTGGTTCTTTGCCATTAGTGGTATATCTATATGCTCGATGCATCTTAATGTGGTAGCAGGATATGAGGGCTACTTTTGATCGAATTGAAAGTTGGGTCGATGTTTCTTCTTTGTAGGTAATGCTCCAGAAAAATTCTTTGCAAACAACAAAAGTCTAAATTAATATTGTCTGATTTGGGTCTTTTCTCGCATGATTTTGCTTTTGGGTGTAGTGACTCTGCAGGTAGGGATGGCAATGTGTCAGGTTGGGTCGGGTTTTGCCAAACCCAAATCTATAGGTTTATTCGTGAAAAAAACCCGGGGTAAAACCCACTGGGTTTGAAAAATTCAAACCCAACCCGCTGGGTATCCGCGGGTTCATGGGTACCCACGGGTTTTTGTCGTACAAAATTTACAATAACAAGTTCCTATCAAAATTAAAGTCAAATATCAATCTCTTAATACAAATTATCCATATTTAAAACACCATTCTAGAAAATTCAAGCAAATCACAAATTAACTATACAAAGTGTCTAACACCAATCTAGAAAACTCAAGAAAATTGAATCAAATCACAAATTATCCATAAATAACATGATTAATTGAAAGCTTCTTCCTTTCAATTAAGTTTCTTTACTCTTCACTCGATAACATCAACTTCATTCTACACAATTAGAAAGAAAAAATTAGACATGTCTCCACAAAAATAAATAAGATTGGCTTGAACTATGATTATATGCTTCTCGTTCTTGTCCTCCTTGCACTCCATTGGCATTCTCTCCCGTGCAATAATTTTGATATTCTTCAAACAGAGTGTCGTCACCAGAGTGGATCCTAATAAAGTTATGTATAACACAACATGCAAGAACAATGTGTGCTTGTTTCTTGAGAGCGAAATGAGGCATATGCTTCAAAATGGGGAATCTAGCCTTCAAAACTCCAAAACAACGCTCGATAACATTGCGTAGAGATGAATGATAATAGTTAAAAAGTTGTTTACGAGTCTTTGGTCCACCTCCACGATCGATATCTTGAAAATGACGTGCTTCTTTTGTCTTATATGGCGCTAGAAACCCAGGAATGTCTCGCGTCGGGGAATCCTTCGTCTCGCAGATGGTGGCGGCCGGGGCTGGCGAGGGAGAAGAAAATGATGGCGGCGCGATGCTGGCGGAGGAAGACGATGGGGCTGCTGGTGGGTGGTTTGGGTGGAGAAGACGATGGGGCGAGTTCAGAGGGGTCGGCGGCCGATTGCTATGGGAGGAGTTCAAAGGGGTCGGCTGAAGCATAGTTCTTCTAGGGTTAGGGTTGGGTGGATGAAATAAATTCCAAAACGGCGCCGTATAGGGTAACAGAGGAAAAATGGGAAAAAAGGAGCTGCGGTGATTCGAACGGCCGATCTCATTAATGTAGAACGGATGATTTCCGCTGGGAAAAGGGGCAATAACCCGTCCCATTCTATTCGAAAAACGAGTATTAATGGTTTTCCCATTTGTAATAATTGGGTTTTTCCAAGGAAAATGGAATGGTCAAGTGAACACGTTTTATGTCCATTTGTTTCCTGATTTTCATTTTTTAACCAGAAAACAGAAAATGAAATGGGAAGTGAACAGGGCATTAGAGTTATTTCAAGAACTCATTCATTTCACCCCAAAATGTATCTTGTGAGTTAACTATTAAAAGTGAATTGTTCCTTATGAATTATGGATCTATCTTTTTTTTTTTTATCAATGTGAGATATATGTCTAAGGTGTTACATACTAAGTTTTGAAAATTAATAACTCACAGTGTCATTCATAAAAAAAAAAACTTACCGTGTATCTAGCTCTATGGTACACCTTGAGTTTTTATCCTAGATTCTAATCATAAGTTTCTAAGTTTTAATTGCCGACATGTATTTGATATAGCCGAGAATATAATCATAACTACTTATGAATCTATCATTGTCATTATCATCATATATTCACATTTGTTCTTATTTGAATCTATCAAGTTTCAAAAATACCTAAAATACAAGTAAATTGTAATGACTTTCATGTAAATTCAGACAGGTTCTTATATTTCATTGATGTACAATTGCGGACTAAGGTTGTTTTGAGACGATCAAAATATGACGCTTGTTGTATAGCATGCACCTAAAATCAAGGGTATACTATAGAAGCGAACGACTAACTAATACCACATCACATTTAGCGAAGGTATAATTTGTTGTTTGATAGATCTTGTGTTTGAATTCTCGTGATTCTCAATATCGACGATTTATTTAAGCATATGATATAGTTAATCTATATAAAATTAAAATCTATAAATCGAATTTTTCTATTTTTTCACACACATTTCAAAATTGTAACGGTTTCAACACATGTCATTTACTACCGAACGTAATCTATATTTGAAACCGGTCTTCAAAATAATAACAACTATTTTACTAACAATCATCGAAGTATTAATGAAAAATTGAAAAATATTGGACCTATAAAGACAGAATAGAGAATGATTAGTATTGAGTATATAAAAAAGAATGAAAAATAATAATAAACAAGTAATATGTAAATGATAGAAGAAGGGCCGTTATTTGCAAATGATTCATTTGAGGACAATCATTTATAAAGATACCTTCTTTTAATTCTGTTGTCAAACCAATCATTTTATAACAAATAACTCTAGATAAGCTGAAACTCGATTCTATACCAGTATAACTGGTCTCTTAAGTCTTAACTCACTTTTGCAAATGGAGGAAATAGGGAATAATATAAACCTCTGCAAGCTCGACACGTATTGAGTCCCGAAAACAATAATGCAGGAGGAAAATGGTGCCAAGAAATACTTTCCTCCCAAAAGCAAATTCTCCCATTGATATTCCATGAAGAGTCGAGTCGTACGGGCAGAAATCTGGAGCGCGGCGGCGTACCACATCATGACACGTACCACCCTGCATTTTCCATTCCAAATAGTGAGAATCCAGTGACTAGGGTGATTAGTCACTTGACTAAGCCCCTCCCAGCCCTTGAATCTAGATATAGCAATTTGATGGTTAAAAAATGGGAAGAGTTATTTAATTAATGACAGGGTAATTTGGGTATTATGGAAAATTACGAAGTATATATACAAACTGGACTTACAATCAGTACAAACCATACAAACATACGAACAGTACAAATTAGAGCTACAAAACATACAAACAGATTTACAAACATTACAAACATATGAACTGTACAAAAAATACAAACTAGACCGACAAACAATACAAACCATACAAAAAGAAAAAACAATCAGGTTGACTTTGGAGGCTCTGTCCCTATATAGAGGGTCTCCTTCCCAAAGTCAACCCGGGTGTTTTTTAGACATACAAACATGGTGGACAAAAATGACAAACTAGACCAAAAATTCATACAAATTGGAAAAACACCCGGGTTGACTTTGAAG